AAAAGATGAGCCGCGAAATATGTTGTGCAATTGGGTCCGCGCGGGGCCCTCCGCGATGACGCGTTTATATTTCTCGCGACCAAGCGACCAAACTGATCGCGATGTGTTCGCCGATGTTGGCGCCGCGGGCTCGGGCGCAAGTTGATCTAGGAGCTTTCTTGGCCGTCCTGTGACTCGGGGGGAAATATTCTGGGCGCGCGCGTGGGCCTGGCCCCAATCGCGCGTCTCCTGACTCATCCGAGCTGCTAGATGAACGGGGCCAGCCGCCGTTCGAGGCAGGGCCGTGGCGCGAGACTCTGAGTGGATCATCTTGTGAGCTCGTTGGCCATGGCGTTTCGGGTTTTATCCTGTGCCGCCAGGGCGCGGATCTCCTGGCGCCGCAGATGCGGCGCGTGATTCGCGCGCGAGATTAGGCGCGCATGTCTCCAGGTTGGCGCGTGCCTAACCGGCGTGTCCTTATTCGAAGACTCAGAGACGCTGCGCGCCCGTTGGCAGAGACGGACCTTCTCGCAGTGCCTGACAGGGTGACATGAACGGCTCTGACGTGAGCGTCCAAGGACCGCGCGGCGCTGGTCTTGAGGTAGCAAGAGTGGTATCTGGCGCACTCTTGCCGCGGGGCAGTCGGCGCGCCCCGCAGCCTCCCCCCTCGCCTGAGAGTGCTATCAGACGTCGTTCCCTCCCGCGTCGCAGCGCCTGGGTCTCGGTGGGTCTTATGCACCGCGGTCTCGGTGGCCTGCTGAATGTCGATTATCCGGGGGGAAGGGAACGCACGGGCGCAATTCATCGTCGATTTCCAGGAAAATATGGGAAAACCCGGGAAGTGGGGGGAAGGCGAAAACCGAGAAAATATGGGAAACGATTTGGGAATATTGTCATTTGTGTCTTTATCTGCGTGTCCCTGGGCCCCATTCAGATGAACTGGGCACCCCGGGATGTTCTGGCCTCGGTGACTCAGGCCCCTGGATGCTAAAGACGCCAGGGGCGTGCGTTGGAGAGCGAGGCGGCAAAACCTCATCCAGGCGAAGTCGCCCAGGATTCCGCGTGCCCAGGATTTGCGTTTACCCCTGTCGTGAACCTGCTGTGTTCACAGAGCAAGTGCGCTAGGAACGGCCCAGGGGCCGCTGCAATCATTTGCGAAAACAAGTCGGAGCCTGGCAGCGCGTGGAATCGCGGCGATGCTCGACCTGTGCGCAGCAGCCATGATATGTTCATCTGACGGCCCACCTGCTTCAAGCTGGGGGGCGGCGGGCGCGTCGGTCTCTCCCAACATTACGCGCGCGCCAAAACTTCCCTGCGTAGGTCACGCCAAGTGCTGGCGCCGTGCAGCGCAGAACCTGGCGCGAGCGAATCTGTGGCAATGGTCTTCGGGATGGAGGAGGCGTTGGTGGCCCTTCTTGAAGGCCTTGCTTCCCTCGGAAAACTGAACCTTGGAATCGGCTTTTCGATGGGCCAGCTCGTGGCCCAACAAAGCCCTGTCAGTCACCGCGGCGCCCAGGTGCACAGTTGATCTAACCGCTGAAACCTTCCCCCCTCTGCGCAGCAACGAACGCGCTGGCGACCATGCATCCGAGTTGTGGAACGTATGCCTTTGAAAGTTGGCGGGCCCGGGGCCGGCGACGTGCAACATTAACTCGATTTTGATTGCCTTGGGGCGTTGGGCCATGCCGCCGGCCGCGTAAGACATTGACGCAATGCGACAGAAGACCGCCAGGTGTTCCTCGACCGCGCTACGTAGCGCCAGCGTCGCAAAGCATGAATCACCTGCGTATGCTAGGCCTGGAAACGCGACTTCCTGTCCTGCAATGGCGGATGGCCGAAATGTTGTTGGCGGATGGCGAAGCGTGCGGAATGGGGGGGCCCGGCTCCAGAAGCTCCCTGGCGACCGTGTCATTGAACTCGGCAACGCCTCGCAGAAGTGCAGCATCCCCAAATGGGGTCCGAGGACTTGTTCCCGTGGACGTAACCGCAATCCTTGACGCTCCAGGGAACCACCCCAACCGATATGCCTCCTTTACCGTTGCCTTGCAGCGATCATCCACATCCTGTCCGTGTAAGGAAGGGGGCCCCTGCGAGCGGTGGGCATGGATGGGGGGGGGGGGCGCGACTCTGGCAAGCCAGCTTGCTGGGGCAGCGTCTGGCGCGAGCGTGGGGGCTCGCCGTCCTAAGAGCCAACTCTCGCATGGCCATGTAGAAGCATTCGTCGCGTCAACCAGCAGAAAACGTAGGCAGAGGCC